GAGCACTAAATAGGCTTAGTAATAGGAAGTATTGCAGATACTAGCAAAGCAATCATAAAGAAAAACTCAAGTTTCTTTAAAAAATTTAGCAAACAAACAGAAATTGTAGGAATTGCTATTGATCTTGTATGTTGATCTGTTTATATTATACAAGTAATATGTAATGGATTAGGCAAAACAGACACATATAGAATAGTAAAACAAATAGTATAAACAAAACATTGATAGAACAACAGATAAACAGGATATAACAAATTCATGTGATAGAACATTTTAAAAATAAGCTGCAAAATAGACAAAAGCATATTACAAAAATATAGAGAGAGTCTGCAAACTATTTTTATAAGAAGAGCATACTGGGCAATAAATAGTATATATAACAAAGTTTTTTTTAATAAGACAGGCAAAACATATGCAGTATCAGATAAAAAAGACAAAATTATAGCAATGTTAACAGAGCAAAACCCATATAAAGTAGCTCTTTTACAATTAACAAGAGAAATATTAAGAAGGACTAAAGAGAAACAACCTGAAAAGAAGCTAGACATGACTATAAAAAGTCAAGATGCAGAAAAGAAACAAATTCAACATAATTATAATAAAGAACAACAAGAAATAGAAAAGACAAATCAAAAAGAAAGCATTGGACAAAAACAAAAAAATAAAAGAACTATAAAGAAAAAACTTGAAAATATAAAAAGACAACAAGATAGAGCTAATATAATGCAAAAAGAAAAAGTAATAGAAGTAAGTACAGAAGTTAATAACAAAGTTCTATTGAGACACTTTACTCAGAAACAAGAAGTCAAAGAACAAGAAAGAATAATTGAACAAGAAGATATAGAAATGAATGGCAAGCAGTCAAGACAAAATGTACTAGAAAAAGAAAGAAAAAAACAGAAAAGAAGAAAACATGAAACAAAGAAAGAAATTAACATTATAGAAATAGCATTGGAACAAAACATATAGGCACCAAGCAAAAAAAATTGTGATTAAAACAACAGTCTAATCGCCAATATACTAGCATATGATGTTCTTGAAAAAACAAAAGAAGAGTGTATAAAGTTTATTAGATGGTCTTTAAAGAATAATATATATATAAAAGACATCAATGAAGTTTTCAAGAGAAGAAATCTTTGGATAGAAGTAATCTTTGACTGTATTTATAGCAGAGATGAAGTTATATAAAGAATTAGCAGAAAAGAGAGTGATTGGTACAAGATGATACCAGAAGATAAAGAAAAGACAGAAAAGAACAACAAGATAAAAGAAAACATATACCAAGTTTTAGAAAAGAGAAGGTCAAAGAAGACATTAACAGAGAAGAACCAAACAATAATGAATATGAAGAAGAGGAAATACTCATTAGCAATGTAACTTATCTAACAATATAGGACCTACTAGCTAATATAAACAAAAAGAAGTAAAATATATTTGCAGAAGAATCAAAGATGTGCAGATAATATGCATCAAAAGGTTCAAGTACAAGGCTTTAACAGTAATACAAACACAAAGCATAGAAGAAAAAAATATTTTATGATCATTGCTAGCAGACAATAATAAGTTGGTAAGAGTGACAAAGGGAAAAGAAGACTATGAAGCAAGAGAAGAACAAAAAAAACATATAGCCAAACTAACAAAGCTACCTGAAAATGCTTCAGAAGTCTTATTATTATATTCTTAAGAAGTAAAGAAGCAAAGTTAGTATACATCCCACCAAACTGAAATGAAAACCAAAGAAGAACAGCATTAATTATGTTCATAACAGAGGAAGATATGAAGATAGTACAATCAAACCAATCATATACAACAATTTTTGAGTATACTGATCTAATGAAAAGAAGAAAGAGCCAAGAAGAAGAGAAAATTTTAAAGATAAAAGAGGAAAAAACTGAGATAGATTAAATCAAATTTCTGATGTAGAAGAAGATAAAAGTAGAGAAAGAAATCAATAAAACAGAACATATATGAACAGAAAAGACAATTAGAGAGACCTAAAACCAAAAGTTTAAATAATAGAAGAAGGAAGTAACAGTCTAAGACATAATATTAAAAACCAAAAAAGATATAGAAGCATAGATAATGAAAAAAAGAAAGCCAAGAAAAAAGAAAAATAAGGTGTATTAGCAAAAAAAGAACACACATATAGAAGATATGCTAAGCTGAATTTTAGAAAAATTAGAAAAATTAGAGAAAGTAAGTGACTTAATAGAGGAAGGCATAGCCAATCACTTCTAAAGACACCTTAGTTAAATTTATGAATATGAATGAGAAGATAAGAGAATTCTTATAAGACAAAAGAAGAAGTTTCGAGAACAGAAAAGAAAAAACATATCCTTATTTAAAAGAAGAAAAAAGTAGAAGAAGAAAGAAAAAAGAAAAAGAAGAAACAGCAAAGACAGTACAAGAACAACTAAAAGAAAGATAGAAAAAAGAAAAAAAGAAGATTAAAATAGCATGTTACAATGTTAATAGACTTAAAACCAAAAGATGGAAACTCAATAATTTGCTGGGCTGGGCAAAAGAAAAAGAAATCACAATACTAGGTATTATGAAAATAAATTTTACAAAAAGAGAAGAGATATTCTTAATGCAGACAGTAAATAGTAAATATGTAGAATTTTGGTCAAATGTAGCAAAAGACAAAAAGAAGGGATTGGGTATAGGCATTATGATTAATGAACAATGGAAGAACCATGTAAGTGCAGTCAAAAAGATAAATAAGTATATGATAGAGCTTATACTATACTTCAAGCAATTAGAATTAGTAGTTTTAAAAGTTTATATACCACCACATGACAAGAAAATAGGAAAAAGCATTCAACAAAAAATAGTAGAAATAGTTACCAAAAAAAAAAGACAGACACAAATAGTTATTCTAGATGATTTCAACTATATAGCAAATAATGTATTAGACAGATAACATCTACAAGTAGTAAACTTCAAGAGATTGCTAATCTTTAATTGGATAAAAAAGCAGAATTTTAGTGATAGTTACAGAGATATGCATCCAACAAGTCAAAAATTTACATGGACAAATAGAGAAGTAGCAACAAGAATTAACTACATATGGGTATTAAAGGAACTGGCCTTAGGTTTACAGAAGGCAGAAATTGAAAATGCAGAGAGAATTACTGAAAATGATCATAAAATAGTAAAAATAAAAATATAAATTAAATACATAATAACAAAAAATAGCAAAGCTAAAATCAAAAAAAAAGACAATCAAAAACAGTATATCTATATGACCAAGCAAAAGAAGAGAACTGAAAAAAGTATACACAAGAGCTGCAGAAATGGTTAGAAGTCAAGAAGATGCTAAAGAAAATTCAAAAAAAAGAAAGAAATAATATAAACAGCATATAGAATGTATTATAAGAGGCAATCATCATAGCAGCTAGTAAGCATCTGTCTAAGAAAAAGATATACAACACACTAACAAATAGAAGAAACAATCAAAAGAAGCAATACCAAGAAAAGAACATTGTAGAGCTGCAAAGATTAATTAAACATGCAAGAACAAGAGAAGGTCAGGAAGTAACAAAAGAAGAAAGAACTGAAATAAATAAGAAACTACGAATAATAGGAGGAAAAAAAGATGTAAGGCTGCCAAAATTACATAGGCAATGGTCAAGTGTCTAAATAGAAGACATAAAAGATTAACAGAAACTGTTGCAGAAGAAAAAGAGAAAAGAATGAGAACAAGATCAAAGAAGACAAATAGAAGAAAATATAAACAAAAGATATAAAATAATTAAAACAAATTAAGAAAAAATGATAGCTATCTGTTAAACAAACTCTACAAAAAGATAACACTTGACAGATTTATTGAACAAGAAGGAGAACTGATGAACTTAACAGTAAAACCAAAATTAGTTAAGATTGGTATAGCAGAACATTACAAGAAACAATTCAGAATAAGAGATGCAAAACTAAAAAAAATGTCAGAATAGTGAAAAAAAGTTTACAAGCCACAAGAATGCATTAAAGATGAATAGTATATGAAATTAGAAGAAAGCATCTAAAAAAAAGAATAGGAAGAAGTACTGAGAAAACTTAAAATATAAACAGCTTCAGGCATATCTGATATAAGTTACATACTAATCAAATGAGCAAAAAAGAAAATACAGAAAGTTTTTAGAGTTTTTGCTGATCTCTATTTAGAGAGAGAAGAAATATCAACCAAGTGGAAAATTGCACAAGTTTATTCAATACTAAAAGACAGAATAGAGATACAGTTTAAACAATATTCACCCAATAGCTTTAATCAAAATATTTAGAAAAGTAGTAACAAAAGTAATAACAAAAAGGCTTGCCAACATCAGCAGAATAAATATGTGAAATATTGCGAAAGATTTTGCATACCAAAAATCTTTCGAAATAACTGCAATTGATATGAAATTATTTTGAAATAAAATAATTTCACAATATTGCGAAAGAAATGAAATAATTTCGAAAGTATTTTAGCTAATTTACAAAATTTTAAAAAATAATAAAACTAAAAAAAATAAAAAAATAATTCGAATAATATTAGAAAGAAAATTTCTTAAATTACACTATGTGTATATTACACATGTTTATTATTTATATATTTATAATTACAATATTATATATTTATTTACAAACTATATATACAGTATAATATTATTATATTTATTTACATAGATGGCCCATATTTGTACAACATACAAGACATAGTTCCTTTACAAAAATTGTAACCAAGACATGCTGTGGTATAAAGTCTCTCTAGTGCAATTAGAACTCCGCTTAAAGATAATATATAAGTGCATTGTTGTGATTCATGCATGACTAAAGTATGATGTAATCCTTAAAGTATAAATATAAAAGTAATAACAATAATGGTTTGATTTCTTTTGCTTCTAATAAATCTGTGAATCAATTTTCTAAGCCTAAAAATTATTTGCTGTGAGTGTTTAAAGGTTCAATCGTAAAAAATATATCAAATAACTGAGTAAACAAGTGTCACGAATATACCGTTTATGAATTCAGAAAATCTCAGTGAAAGTGTAATTAAAAAACTTTTTAAACGTATGTGCAAGGAATTAAAGACCTTTTACATTCACTAAATTGTTGTATTTGTACAGAATCCAGGTTTACTAGAACTGCCACTAGAATCTATAGCTCCAGTTTCACCAATATCACATATGTTTACAGTATTTCCGGGGCTAGGCAATATGAATTCTTGCACTGATTTTTTATTACCTCTTGTAAGACATTCTGCCAATTTTTGTTCATACCCCAAATTTAGAATACATATTGTTGGAACCTTAAATTGTTATATTTTTGTAGAACCCAGTTTTATCAGGATTGTCACTGAATCTTATGTCCCTAGTTTTACCAGAACCGTCATTACCTCTTGTAAGACATTTCTACTGATTTTGTTTATATTGTACCCAAAATTTAGAATATATATTGTTGGCACTTTTGTGGTAGTAATAACCTGACATTAATATTACATTATATTTTTATAGAACCTGGTTTTATCAGAATTGTCGCTGGATTATATGTCTCCTGTTTTATCAGGATTGTCATTAAATGTTATGTCTACATTATTTTCAACATCGGTAGACATCAATTCTCCTGTTGATTTTTTATTATCTCCAGTAAGAGCAGCTTTTTTCTAATGCCTTTATGGTTTTTACACTAAACATTAATCTTTTTCAACTTCTTTTTTAAAAGGTCACCAATTTTAGTAGCGATCATCAGCCTTCTGAGCAAGGGTTCTTAATAGAAAATAATAACATCGATAATGGAATTATAATCAACACAGATTTAGAGAAAAGTGAGAATCCGATAGATACTTCAGAATTAAATAATGACCTAACCTTTGTAGACTGGATAGAATTTAAAACGTGAATAGATCATTATTCAAAAAAAAGAGATTTAGTTATAGGGTTAGAACTAGTCAAAAGGATAGAGATGTAATACGATGTGCTACTTTAGAATGTTCAAGATTAGGTATTCACAATCCTCAAGTAACTTGTGACTCCACTAAATAGCGAAATGCAGTTTCACAATAGACAAAATGTTCCTGGAGGCTTAATATGTACTGCTTTAAAAAAAGCAATATTTTAAAGATTACTTCATTTGTGGATAACTATAATCACATGCTTAGCACAACTATCTATAAAATGGCACCAAGATTCAGAAAATTAATGCTAGAAATGTTATCTGATATTGAAAAATATGTAATTCAAGGCCGGATGGACTCTGGATCTATTTACCCTTTACTTAAACATGACTATCCCAATAACCCCATCTTTAAAAAAGACCTTTACAATGCAGTATATCAGTTTCAAGCTACAAATAATCCAGGTGACTCGGATGCATCCCAAATGCTTCAAATGTTATTAAGTTGGAAGGAATTTGACCCTTTATGGGTGGTTAAACCACATTTAGATTCTTTTTCTAGAAGATTAAATAGGTTATTATAGATGTCTCCATCACAAAGGTCTTTATATGAAAATTTCTATAACATTGTAATTATTGACACCACATCCAACACAAATCACTTTCAAATAATACTTTTTGTCATGATAGTTATTGATAATCATTTCAGATCAAGAATTGTAGCTACTACTGTTATAGATGATGAAACTCTTGATACTTTTCAATGGATTTTTACTACTTTATTTGAAGAAACGGGCATCAATTCCAAAGTCATATTTACCAATTCTGATCCATCTATGATTAGTGTGATTAAAGAAATACATCCTAATACAAACCACTTATTATGTATTTTCCATATTGATATAAATCTCTGAAAAAAGCTTAAATGTAAATTGAGATCCCATTTTGAAGAATTTTGTTAAAAGTTCTATGTTTGTTAAAATTCATTATGCAGTGAGCTATTTGCGGCTCGATGGTCACATTTGGTCGATCAATACCCAGAAGTGGCAAAATATATGTCAGAAACACTTTATGTTAATAAGAAGTTATGGGGAATATTGTGAATACATAATCAATTTACAGCTAGTGCTCAAAGCATACAGAGGATAGAGTCTATCAACAAGCAAATACATGATAAGGTTGATCGGGTGATGTCTCTATGTGACTTGTTAGTTAACATTAATAATTATGTCAAAAATGAGGAGCACTTTAAAAGATTTGAAGTCGAGCATAGTGCACTACCAACAGTTGGATTGCTGATATTAAATACTATGCTTTTTAAACAGATAGATGACATAATGAAAAAATTCTTAACACCTATTATGCTAGATAAACAGTATTTGCAAATGAATCAATCAGTATGTTATGATGTTGATCATATCTTAGAATGGCAAAAATTAATAGAGGAAAGTTGTTTTTATTTTCTTTTTCCTTTATTTGGCTATCTAAACTATCAAATTAGCATCACATATAGTTTTAACTAGGTCTTAACCTAACTTTGCCTACATATGATGCTAATTATCACATATTTTGGGCCATTCCAAATAGTTTGGTGGCAACTATAATTTGAATTTACTATAGACATCTATGTTAATATTTGTTTAATTTATTATAAACTGACTATAACGATGAAGAGGTCAATATTGGTCTTCAAGAAAAGGAACAAGACATTCGTCAAATTCTTTTCAAATCACTTATTAGAAATGTTAATTAAGATGAAGTCTTAGAAGTATGGAATGTCAGAGCTACTAGAAGAACAGGCATTGGAAACTATGTAGTATTATTAAATGATGGTACACATTTGTGTACATATCTCTTATTATTAAACAAAGGATTGTTATATCATCATTTTTTTCGTGTTTCTATTTATTTCCAAGCAGCCACTTTTCACATGGCTCTTATTCTGTCTAGGTGGTATCTGGAACCAAATATAGATCAAAGAAAACTTTTACAACAAACATCAACAATCAAAGTCTGTTGTACAGTCAGATCAGAAGGTGTTCAACCTAATATTACATTTGAGAACTTGTTTTCCATTCAACCAAGCTCTTATGATTCGCACTTAACAACAAAGTCTAAAAAAGCTGTATATGCCAAACTATTTGGATTATCAAAAAAGGCTATCGATTTGGCTATCAAATCTGATATGTCGCAGGAGCTAGTAAATATTCTTAAATTATTTCTAAATGATGTACAAGACAAAAATCAACAAACAAATAATGATGACAATCAGATTGTCATAAATAATCCAAATATTGTTAAGCATAAGGGCCGGCCACCAAAAAGATTAAAGTCTAATATTGAGTATAGATCTTTTAAAAGTAGACAGATACTACAAAACAATATTAACACAACAAATACAATAAAAAATATGAGTGGCGGTGGTGATAATAATACGATGAGTGTTGTGAAGGGACATATGTGTGGGAAGTGTAAACAATATAGGCATTACGCTAAAATGTGTCAGGCATGAATTCAATATTAAAATACTTAGTATTAGAATGATTTTTTTTTAAGTAGATTGTGCTGAATTGCATGTATTATAACTTAGTTGAAGTTCAATAAACACTATAATGGCAATGAGCTTTGTTTTATTAATTGGTTTTATGAATTAATTTTATGTATTACATACATGTCATATGATTGAACTATTTTAATTGCTATCTATAATAGAGATATGATCTATTAATCAGCAATCTGAATACTTGTTCAAAATCCGTATTTTTATGCGATCTATATGATCTGTATAATTTTTGTATATTGCGAACTACTGTATAATTAACTACAATTAACTACAAACAAACTACAGTTAACTCTGCAAAAGATTAATCAATCTGTATAAATACAGATTATATTTGTACAATCCATATTATAAGGATTTGAATAGTTCACATCACTAATTTAGAAGTTTATACTGTAACAAGGAAAACATGTTCAATTTGGATGAGTATATATAGTTCTTTCAATTTGTTTTATGTTCAAATATTAACTATATGCTGTAATTCTGTTCTAAGTATTATCATTACAGATAGACTTTTTCTTGATGACACATACAATGATAACAATATACAAATTTATTCTTGTTATAGTAAACTTATCATTATATTGAGAATTTAATTAATCTTTACTATAGCGAGAGTGACTTGCATCAAACCCAACAACTAAATGAACAACTAAATGAACAACTAAATGAACAAAAATATGTTACTATAGGCTAGAAAAACTTCGAATACTTGTTCTAATCGCCAATATTAATAGATGAATTGGCATTATTATAAGTTATTCAGCTAAGTGTATTTTGCGTTATGGGTTATTGAATTTTTTTTTTTTGTTTTGAATAACTTCTTTATAATCCATTCTATTCTTCAAGTTTGGGTTTAGTTGTTATTATGCTGTGAACTATATGCC